CCCCAAAACCCCAAAACCCCAAAACCCCAAAACCCCAAAAAGATATATAATATTGAGAGAAATCAAACATGCCAACACGCGGTTTGAAATTGAAGGACACAAAGTTAGCTCTAAAGAAGCACGCTCTGGTGAGGCTGTGCCTCACCAGCTTGCTCTACTTTGTACTTCCCTCGGTGCTCTTCTATCTTCTATGTGTCTACGTTCTAGTCACAGAGATTTGCTTTCATTTCCCAAATCTTGTGAAGAAGCGTAAATATAAGAAGCTAGAATACTCAAAGGAAAGATTTGGGTTCTTCATGGGTGCACATCGAGGAGGCTCCCTCGAGGGACTTGAGAACACAATGAGTATCTGTTTGTATTCTAACTGTATAGCTAACTTCAAGAAGGCAAAAGAACTAGGTGGTTTGTATGTAGAGATGGATGTCTGCATGACAAAGGACAAAAAAGTGGTTGTCATCCATGATCCTCATCTGAAGAGGATCAGCGGTATTGATAAAAATGTGAATGACTGTAATTATGCTGAACTTCCTAAGATAAAGGATAAGGTTCCTGTTCATTTTGATTGGTCAAATTATGATGCCACAAATTGGCAGGATAAAACTTTCCCTCTCTTTGATGATGTCTGCAAAGAATTAGGTAAGTTCTGTGAATTATTTCTTAGGAGATACGCCTATCAATATGGAGATTAAGACCAACGACGATGGAATTTTAGAAGAAGTGTATAAAATTGTGAAGAAAAACCATAAAACATCCCAAGTGGTCTGGGGAACAAGAAGATATGAAGACTCAATAAAGTTGAGTAAGATGGCACCAGAAGTCTGTAGGTTCGCATGTGCTAAAGAGTTCATGTCTATATATATTGGGTATATCTTTGGGTATCTTCCTTTCATTGATATTGACTGTGATACCGTCCAGCTACCTCTCTGTACTGAAGGATATAAAAAATGCTGAACATTAGAAATAAAAAGTGCTTTGAAGCGATCCCTATTGCTTAATTTTATAAAGCTTACTGCTTACATTGTAGATCCTCTGCTTGTTCATCTTCAGAAGAGAGGAGTTGAGCCCATCTTTTGGGTGATAAATAGAAAGGAAGAACTTGAAGAATGCTTAACATATGAGGGCCTTTCAGGAATTATGACAGATTGACCAGAATATTTCATAAACTTGCTCGAAGGGAAAGAAGATTAAACTTTCAATATCTATGATTGATTTTGGGGTTTTGGGGTTTTGGGGTTTTGGGGTTTTGGGG